ACAGGAATTTATTGAAGGTTTGTTAGGTAGAGAAGATACAGATAATTGGCCTATTCTGTCACTCGGGATAGAAAGCACTTTTTCATCCTCCATGTCTACTTTCAGGGTTGATAGTCCAGTTACTCTCAAAGATGAGACCACATCCATGAAAGTGCCTGGTGTAAGAAGATTTGATCACCCAAACATTCATGTGTGCAGGCATCCATCCATCTGTAGGGAAAAGGCCCCAATGTGAGTGTGCTGGTATACCACACACTGGTGTCAGTCTGCTTAAACATGGTTCCAAGCTCTGCTTTCTGTGAGCTCAGTCTGTCACCTGTGAAATGAAGATGATAGCTCCTACCTCACAGGCCTAAATACAATGATGGGGTTAGCTTTGGATACATGTTCATTGAAATCAAGAGTAGTAGTTACTCATTCTTGGAGGCTTCGTTGGCTGCTGGTGAGGCCCAAACCTGTATGTGAGGAGCTAGAAAGAGGTATAGCCTTGTCCATTGTTGCAAGGCTGGCTGGCTGCAGGCTGACTGTGATTAAACTGAGCTGGGCTGATGCTGGTAATATTTCTGTAGCAGTGCTTGTGTCTGAAGATTCAGATATTGGCTGTCACTTACCCTGCCAGGACTGTATTTTCCTCACCCAGAAATGAGGCTTGTGCTGCCTATAGTAGCATGTGGTGGGGTAAGAACTGCATGAGCTGGTCCCAGTGACTTCAGCAGTGTCTGGCACACAGAGGTCTTAACATTTATCTAACTGTCCAGTCTTCTGGTCTCCTGGTCAGACAGAACGTAGTCCCAAAGTGACTCTGGGGCTTGGAATGAGTCCGTTACACTCTGGACAAAGTGCTACGGCCTGAGTGACTGCTCTTGTTTAGCATCCTTTCCTCTGCTAGCCAAGTGCCATGGGAGAAAACCCAGTTTGCAGTTCAGAAACCTGAAACAACGGGAAATGGAAGAAGTCCCTGGTCCCAGGTGACACTTTCTCCTTGTCCCAGGAAATGTAACATGGGTGACAAAGTGCCTCTTGCTTCTCATTCCTTTCTCTGAGCTGTCGACAGAGCCCTATCTCATGTATCCCATGTCCCTCAAACATTACCTGTGACAGCCATCTATTTGGTCTTGTCCTGAACCAGGTATTGAGGAAGAGTAGCTAATTTCCACCCCCTTCTTTCTACACACAATACAAGGCCAAAGAAGTCTGATTCTTGTGGTGTAGGCACCAAGGAAATGATGTGAACTTTCTGGATATAATCACCAAGTACCTCGGCTGAGTAAAGTGGCTCAGCCCCGGAGCCCTGCTGGATTGTCTTTGTCAGAAAACCCTTCATCTTCACGGCTGCTTCTTTAGCTATGAAGTGGGGATGATGATGATAATAAAAGTGATGATGATGATGACAACAATGGTGAGAGGTAAAGAAGGGAGTGTGGGGACTGGAGAGATGGCTCAGCAGTTAAGAGCACTTGCTATTTTCCAGAGGACTTGGGCTAAGTTCCCAGCACCCACATGGTAGCTAAAAAAAGTTCCATAACCAGTTCCAGGGAACCCGACACCCTCTTCTGGCCTCTGCAGTCACTGCATGCATAAGGTGCATGTAGACATGTAGACAAAACACTCATTTACATAAAATAAAAATAATAAAGCATTTAGGTGTCAATGAAACCCTTGGCACATTTTCTCATGGAGTAAGCCTCTGATAGATAAGTCATTTCCTCAGCAAGGTCCCTCCTTCATTAGGGGGACATTGCATGGTGGCAACTGCCCATTGGGTGACAGAATAAGATGAACTTTCTGGGTTTGTAATCTAATTTGTTATCTATAAATGCATGCAAGGGTCAAGGAATGATCTACTGCTAATTGTTAACACTCTTCTGGATAAAACATTAATCTGTTTCCTGAACTTAGTGTTCAGCACAGGAACACGCAGGAGCAGCAACTGAGTGTGTCCTCCTCTGTGCCAGCACCTCCCTCCTGTGAGCGCCAGAAGTCCAAGAGGAAGGCTGGTCTGTCAGAGTCACTTCGCACACCTCTGGTTTTCAGGGTTTTACTATCCTCTTCTAGTACTGGGCAAGAAGGCTCAAAGCATTTCAGCTGAGCCAACGTTTTGAATTCCAAGGGTGCTCAGCAGCTCTTCCAGGATGCAGAGTTAGGTGGGCCACAGGACCTACCTCTGAGGAGCCCAGATGATGTGGGAAGACTGTTTAGGAAAGCATCAGAAGTGATGCTTTAGTAAAGCACTGGAATAGGTCACTGGAAGTGTCCTTAGTCCATTTAAACTGGAGGTAGAGGATCCTGGAGGAAAACCACCTCAGGGAATCAGGATTGTCCTTCTGTAGGGCTAGCATGTGAAGTGAACCTTCAAGGGAGTGGCTTATAAATATTCCTAATAATGATGATGACAATGAGACTTCCCATGTACTGAGCCCAGCAAATGAGGACAATAAGACACAATCTCCATTCTCAAAGCCTTTGCAGACTAGCAAGGACACAGAGAAGTATGTGGCTGAATAGGCAGTGTAGCCTGTGCGGGGCTGAAGGGTCAACATGCTGGGGAGGAAGGAAAGTCGTGGAGGTAGAAGCAGTCCCCTGTGCAGACGAACAGGACAGGAAGAAAGCAGGTATGTGGGTGAGGCTGGCCGGCAAGGAGAGGGAGTAGATGGGACTAGGGAGCTGCTGAGAATTCAGCTGGGCCCACTGCTGTGCCTCATGGGCAGCATAGCTGGCATCTAAGAGCTGCTTGCAGTTCCACAGCAGCCGAACACCTGCAAGGGAGGTGGGCTTCCAAAACCGTGAATCCATGTTCCGGAGCTGCAATCACATAAGCCCTAGGAAACATCTAGGCAAAGCCTTGGTGGCCCATCTTGTTCAGAGTCCTATCCTCCTCTTAGAAATAAGACGCCATGGTTCAGCAGTTAAGAGCATTGAATGCTCTTGCAGAGGACCCGGGTTCAATTCCCAGTACCCACATGGCAGCCACGAACCATCCTTAACTCCAGTTCCAGGGGAGTCCAAAGCCCTCTTCTGACCTCCACAGCAATGCACAACACGTGTGCACTCACATACATGCAGACAATACACTCATACACATAAAATATTAAAATAAAATACTAAAAAAAATGGGGCTGGAGAGATGGCTCAGCAGTTAAGAGCACTGGTTGTTCTTGCAGAAGACCCGGATTCGAATCCCAGCACCTACATGGCAGCTAACAACTGTCCTAACTCCAGTTCCAGGGGATCCGACAGCCTTTTCTGTCTGCCGTGGGCACTGCATGACATGGGTGCACTTACCTACATGCAGCCAATATACACATACACATAAAATAAAAATAATAAAATATTTTTTAAAAAATGAGATGCCACTGGGACAGGACCCATGGGCTTCATTCTTCCTGGTGTGCCCTGGGCAGCAGGTGTGGGCCTTGTGCTCCATGGGGTTTGGCCTCTTCTAAGGACATATAGCCTGATGCATTTCTCAGAAAACAGAATGTCCTCAGTGCTGCTCCACATCAAGTAAGGTGCTGGGGACAATGCCCCTTAGCACTTTCCCTGTGGTTTAGTCTAAAACAAAGGTCACTGTAAGATACAACTGAATCATTGCTACAAACTTAAAGAATGTCCAAGTGACTTCCTGAAGATGTCAACAAGCTTTCCCCAAGTCAGATGCCAGGTCTAGGCTTTCAACACACCTGCTGTATGTCTTTGGGTGATTACTAAACCCACTGAGCTCTGACTTCTTCATACATGATAAGGGGAAAATAATAGGCCTTTCCTTATATGGATGCTGTGAATAGGAAGTGAGGCTGCTGTTTATGAGTTCAGCACACACTAGTTCTTGCTTCCATAATTTTTCTATTTTTTCCTTGTATGTGGTTTGGACGGCCCAAAAGAGGAATGAATTCAGAGAGCACCAGGATCAGGAAACGGAAGGAAAGAAAGAAAAGGACACCAATGGCTAATGAGGATGCCACAGACTCTTCTTGTGGGAACAAAGGTACCTTTTGTTTCCAGGAGGGTCAAAATGTTTGCTTGAAAATCTTGGAGTGTGGACAAAAGCAAGATCAATATCCTGAATGTTTTTCTCTATGGCTAAGTCCAGATGAATAATGCTATCAGGAACTTTGCCCCAGACAATGATACTGGATGCCCTGGGTCCTAGGCATGTCTTTGTCCTTGCTGGGCCTGCCTTCATGGAGTTCACATGAAGTTACCCTCATAAACATAGCCTGCACCTGGAAGTCTCAGATCCTCCCAGGCTCCAGACGAAGAAGGAACCAGGCTGCTGGACTCCCAAAGCTGGCTCTTAGAGGAACAGCTGATGGTGTCTCAGATTTTAATAAACATCTTTTTTTGACAAGCTAAATCAACTAGTTGTAGGATCACGGGCACTTCTATTTTCATTTCTAGGCTTCAGGTTTCTTTTTTCTTTTTCACGTGTAGAACCACAGGATTGGACTGAATTTACATTGATTAGAATTGATACATATTGCACCTTAAGAATCTTTTGATGTTTCACTCAGGTAATTTCAGATGAACCCAACCTATCCATGCAGAGCTGCAATGAAAGCTCCTTATAAGCCCATGGAGTGAGTTGGGGTGAGGTGGAATGAGATGGGGTGAGTGCGGTGAGATGGCATGTAGAATGAGTGGAACCAGTGGCAAGTGTTTGTGTCCATCGTATAGTGCTGGTTGAACCTCAGAGCCAAAGTCTCAATGCTGAACAAGGCCAGGACTTGGGGAATCCTTGGACGGCAGGGTCTACAGACCCCAGAGAATTCTACGCACACCATGCCATTGGCAATGGCCACAGGTGGGCAGCTCAGAGATGCATGACCCATGGCAGCTTAGGAAGGGCCATGCTACCCAGTACCTCACCATCTTTTAAAACTTACTAGCATCATTTAAAAAAATGTCTCCAGGGGCAGATGGGGTAAGAATAAGTACTTTTTATATCAAGGAAAATAACAACAATGATCATAATAATGAGAAAAGCCAAATAAGCATATGTAAGTGCATTGTTCTTCTTAGAGATTTATTTTTGTTTGATGAATTTGACACCAGTCATGGAGAGAGTTTGGACCACGTAGGAAAATGAGTACCCAGAGGGGCCTGCAGCTTCCTGCATGGGTGGGTTTGGTGTTAGGTTGTTGGTTGGTTTAATTTGTTTTGGGATGTTTTTCTTTTGTTCACTTTTATAAATCTCTCCCCAGGCTTGTGAGCTTTTCCTCCCTCCCACCTCCCTTCCCCAGCCCCAAATTTCATTTAAAAAGCGAGCTTGCTCGCCAGGTTTGTCCCTCAAGCTCTCAAGGCTCTAATAAATAAGGAGCACCTGTAAAACAGTAGCTTGACTTGTTGACTGTACAAAGGAGAATATAGAAATACAGTATGTACACGCATCCATGGCCCGGTGCCGCAAGGCTGAGGTGAAACCATCCTGGCCCTGCCCTCCCACTGTGGCCACCTCCTGCTGAGGCTCCATGGCATGGAGGGGTGGGGTACCAGACCCCTCCAGAGGGAACAATTGCTTTTATTTGAGTTAGTAAACAGATACACTGAATCACAAGGTGATTTGATTTGTTTTTTGTTTTTTTTTAGTTTTCTTCTTTTTTTTTTGATTTTTTTCTTTTTCTTTTCTTTTCTTTTTTTCTGTACTCGTCAGACTGGGGTACTCCACGACTGTCTCACCTGCCAGTACACATGCTCTAGAGGACTTCTGGACTCGCAGCTACAACTGTACAAGTGCACACAAGTAAATCTACCCTGTTATCCTCCACCCACTGATTGAGGATCAAATTGCACATTTCTCTTAACCATGACAGGAGAAAGCAAACAGCGAAACAGAATCCTGGGCGATCTTTCTCACTTTCCCTCTTGTTTTCATTGGTTCGCCCATACCATTCTAATTATCATGAAAGGGCTCTGCAAGGGCTCTGCGTATAGAGAGATTGTCTCACTGACTTCCTGGATCACCGAAAACCATCAGGGTTGAAATTTCATCCGAGTCTTTCCTGACGCCCAGCAAATATTCCCCCTCGGATTATTTTACACCTTGAGGGCATTTTGGTCTTCAGTTCAACACTCTTGCTCTGTTCCCAAATGGGGCACTATTTAGGGGAATTTCAAGAGAAAGCTGAGAAGAATAAACATTTACCAAGTTCTCTTGGCATTCAGTCTCTGAAAAACCACAGTATAAACTATCCATGCTGCTTTTTAACATCTGTCAAATCGAAAATTAAAAGCCATAAAAGTGTAACACTGAAAATATGGCATCAAAAAGGATAAAGGTGGCCTTTGTAAAAAATAACATGAAAAGTATATTAGCCAATAAAATATTCTACCTCTTCATTTAAAAGTGCATCGTGGGCTGGACAGAGATGAATCTGAAGTTTTGGGACTCCAGTACCATCCCTCCCCACCACCAAAACATGAACAGTATAGTTCCAAAACCATACAATGCAAATCACAATTCTTAGTGTAGCAGCAAAACCACAGCAGTTCTTAAAAAGATTAAAAAAAGATTCTTGTTTTCCAATCCGTATCATCTTCCAGCCTCAGCCGCTGAGCCTTGAAGATGGGGTGGGAAGAATACCTACATTGGTCCTTGTGATGTGTTGTTTTTCTTTTTTGAAAACTAGGGGCGAAATCCCAAAGTTCCTCTGGGGAGAAGCAGAGCTAGAGGCAGCAGGAAGGCGAGGCCTGGCTTGATGGGTCCAAAGACGTGCTGGCTTCTCTGGCCTAGAGGCCACCAGGGAGGGATGCTTCCTCCAAGATGCTTAATGACAGGAAGCTGCGTATTTGCTTGAGTTTTAGCCAGAGCGGGTGGTGAGCTGACCAGCTGGTGTCATTGGATGGCTAACATGGTTTGCTCGCGCCCTCTCTCCATGCAAGGTACCCTGGGAGTGAGCGTTCCTGGGAAAAGAGAAGAGGCCATGAGAACCAACTGGACCAAATCTCTACCCACCCATGTCTGCCCACCCCACGCAGGTGGGGAGAAACATGCATGAGAGAGAGCTGTGGCTCATCAGCACCAGTTTGCCCTAAGATGAGCCCCAACAGCATGATTTCAGAGCGCTTCATTCAGTCTGCTGAGGATCAGCCATGCCAGCTTTGTGTGAAGAACTGAAACCTGAGCCCTCTTTGGAAAACCATAATGAGCCTGATGAACTACGCCTTCCTCACAGACCACAGCATCCTTTGCAACCAGCAACTTTCACTCTCCACAGGACTTCATGTCTAACCAGCAGGACATCTTTTGAGTTTCCTAAGGTCACTCCAAAACCAGGTAAGGTCAGAGGGACCCCAGAGCACCAGACCTCACTCCCTTCATGTATCAGCTCTGGTGCTTGAGAACAGAAGGCCCAGAGAGACACTATTAGCAAAGTTACAGTGGACACACATGCCTCCCTTTGGAAATTCCTGGAGACAATGAAGCTGGGAGAAACAGATACCCCTGTCTGTGGCTCTTGCTTGTCAAAAGTGAGCCACTGACAACTCTTCACACCCTGATCACACGAGAGCATGGGACTGGCAGACAACAAATCACCCAGACCTTGGGATCCTGGGTAGATGGACTGAACTGAACTTTCAAACTGGTTCCTGGGGAGCAGCACCCCACATACACCACAGATTGGAGGCTTGGCCTTTTCATCCTTATGGGTTTCTTTCATTTGCTACCAAGTTCTTATTCAGAGGCAGAGTCTCTTGACAGTAGTCAGGTGCTTCCATGAAGCAGCCACTTAGAAGTCTGTCCAGCAAAATGTGGAGTCCCTGAGGTCTGGGGTTGGGGCTATCTTTTCTCATGAATCTATATTTAGTCCCTGGTCCACAGTCTGTCAGAGGTTATTCATAGGTGTTCAGCATGATTTTGTCAAATGAATGAGTTAAACATCTGTCTACCACCATGCCCACCAAAAGAAGCTATTTTTCCCTTCTGCCAGTTAAATGGGGTTGTCAGAAATATGAACGGGTAAAATTTGGCTAATGTGAGGTGGTAACAGAAGATTTGTAAATATCTTTACAACCATTAAGGTTATTTTTAGAACAATGAGTGAATAATTTCAAAGAGGTGGTAGAATTTATGATTCGAAGGTCCCCTAGAGATAGAATAGCACAATTTCCTCATTTTATAGAAGGAGAACTGGAAGCCATAGAGACCTGGAAACGAACATGAATTTAGTGCAGGAACAAGGAGGCCAGGTGCCCTTTGGGAGGACTAAGTAGGAGCTCGTGCTTTGAACTCTGCTGTCCCAATTGTGGTGTTAATGGCAACAATAATAATCATCAGCCAAAAACAAGGTTTGAAATTCTCAGTGTGCAAAACTGGAAATGCTTGAGCTCCCTAAATCACATTAGATCACCAGATCCATGTGCGTTTAATATGTATATTAAATAACCAAAGCGAAAATGCAAAACGCCGCAAATATGTACCGGGGGTAGAATTACAAGGCCATGGAAACCTTTTCATTTGGCATGTTTCTCTCTGAATAAAGAGCTCACATTCGCCCAGCCCTTCTTTCTGTCTTGAGAATGAGAAACAGTGACCAGAAAAGGTACAAACGAAGCCATCATGAAACAGCATCGAATCAGAGGCCACAGAGAGGAAAAGAACTGAGACGTGACAAGCAGGTTAGAAGACATGGGCCACTTATTTTGGGGACGGTTCTCTTGCTTCATCAAGCACAGCCTGGGTGTTGCTGTGGAAGTAGGGGAAAAACTACCACCTCTGGGCCTGACACCAAGAGTGACCACATCTTGGAGTCCAAAAGGGCCTCCAAATTCTTTTACAGGAAAAAGGAACAAAAGGTGCTTAGCACCTTCTTCCTGTGACTGACAGAAACCACCGTTTTTAAAGGCTGCCATTGCTTCTTCAGTGATGTAGCTTCTTTTTCTTTACTGCAATCACAACCGAAAAAAAAGGGAATATTTCTCAAATAAGTTTCTTTGTATTCAAATCACCTTTGGACAAAGACCAAATATGTCCAGCATCAGCCTACTTGGAGAAAATTTCTAGGCTTTCATAAGAGACTAGGAAAACGGGATTATAATGAGAGCCATTCTGGAACCTTAACTACAGCATTTGCCATCCCAAACACTATAATAATCATTATTATTCTCTGCTATCTATTATTGTCTGGTAAATAATATGTGTTTTCCCCCAAAGTTCTAAAGGGTGCAGCTGCACAGCACTCTATTTTTGCAGCCCCATTCCTGCCACTCTACAAGCCTGCTCACACCGAGCTTTTGTTACGAGAGCAGAAAGGAGACTGACTGTGTGTGCCCTTCCTTTTCTTCTCATCACACATTTGCACACCTAGGACATTCCTAAAGGCCAGAGGATGGCAGTACAAGTCTCTTTCTGCTGGCCAGTTTTGAGAAGGGGTGGTCCTGAAGCCAGCCTCTTCAGTTGGATCGAGGCAGCCCCTTGTTGAGGACATAGGCATGGACTCTGGTGTCAGTGATAAGGAGCCGAACGTAGATTTCATTCTCTTCATTTTTACTGATAGGTAACACACAGAAACCTCTAGAACAGGAAAGATGCAGACTTAAAGACTTAGAAAGTGGTCATATCAGAAAGTTAGGGCCTTGCTACACAGAGGGATCCTACAGGAAAACTGCCCCCTTTGTCTAAATTTTATCATCTCTACAAAGGAAAGGTACAAGAAATAGGAGCCATGGTCCACATGCCCATCCTGTTTGTGTGTCCTTAGACCTGTTCCTTACCAGTCCTTCCCCAAGTCCTGATAACAGAAGTCTGGGTGACACTTTCTGTTACATCCCCTACCTCTCACATGCTGTGATCAGGACAAAAGGCAGTATCAAATATAAAGGATTACAAACTTAAGCAACTGGATGGTAGTCTGTTATCAGTATATAAGGAAGGTCCTCTTTCTAGATCTTTTTTTTTTTTTTTTTTTTTTTTTTTTTTAAGCAAGGGTCCCCCATTTACCCCCACCTCACAAAGGTCACAAGACAAATTCCCTGAAACAAGAGCTATATTTTTTGGTCTTTTTGAGACAGGGTCTCCCTGTAGCCCCCAGCTGGCCTGGAACTTGATCTGTAGACCAGGCTGGCCTCAGATTCACAGAGATCTGCCTGCCTCTGCCTCCCACCCAAGTGCAGGGATTAAAGGTATGTACCACCACACTTGGCCATTTTCTAGATCTTTAAGTCCAAAGGTTCAGAGTCTCTTTCATGTACATACATGCACACATACATATACCTGCAGCAGAGATTTCCGGAGTGTTCCTGAATGCAAGGGATTCTTGGGAAGTGCATATACTTGCACCTCACACTTCAGTTTTTTCTCTGAATGAGAGAGTTATCTGAATGCAGGAAAATTTACCCATGTTACATGGAATATCTCACACATACAACCATATCAAGAAGCCGTGTCTTGTACTGTATACTTTCTAATGTATATAGAGCCTAGTACTACTGTGCATGGTCTCTACAGAGTATGGATGGTCAACCGTCTCCAAATTCCAGACCTGCTTTCCTTTTCTGTCCAGAAGAAGGAAATGTCCTCATGTCGGATCCTAATTGCCCAGCAAGGGCACTGAGAGATTCTCTGTTCACCTGGCCAGTTACTCCCCCATTTTATCAGGGAGGCAGTGAGATTTAGCTACCTGTCTTCCTTTACCACATATAGTTTTCCAAAGGACTACAGAGAGCAAAAAATATGCCTCAATACCGTTAAGTTCTTTCAATGCTGATATTCTCAAAATATGGCCATTCTTACCTTTACCTCTTCCACTTACAATCTAAGATGTATGCTGCTGCATTTCAAGAAATTTCCCAAAAATAAGTGTAGATCTGGAGAAAAATATCTCATTTTAAGCCCAACATTTCCAAGTCAGTCATTCTCTGATGTGAGACACCATCTCTGCCCGGAAGCCTGCCTCTGTTCATCTAGTTTATTTCAAAATTTTTAGTCTTATTTCCTTCCTCAAATGCCTTTGTAATTTTCAGAATCAAAATCCAATAGGTCTTGTATTGCTCATTTATAAGATAGGTTCCCCTTGTCTGTTTAGTCTCAGGTGCCTAAAATCCTATGGCATCAACTCTATGATATGCAAGAAATGCTCACTGCCAAGCCAGCTTGCCTTTGTCCCTGCCCTAGCAGAAATCCACTCACTGGAGCACTGCTGCCCATCACTTATCAGCGTTAAATACAGCCATTACGTGCTGGCAGAGGTTGTGCTGTTTATCTGGGACAATAACGAGTCCCTGAGGACAGACTGCTCTCAGGTAGCGGCAGCTATTCTGGGACACTCACAAGGGTAGAGCCCTGTGGTGAGTGAACAGAGCTGCCTGCAGCAGCTGATAAACTCTGGGTGTGATGCCAGATAGGGGTCCCTCACCAAGCCCATCCTAAGCAGAGCTACAGTTTGATCAGACTTTGCCAAAAAGTGGTTCCTTCCCTCCATTTCAACTGTTGCTGTGTGAAGAGTTTTGAAATGGCTTTTTACCAAGTTGGAAACTTTTTACTTTCGAAATGGACAATGTTTCTTTTCTCATAGCTCATTAAATAATGAAAATCATTGAGAAACAGTTCTTCTTTCTAGAGTGCATATAATGGGAAATGACCCTTTGTAAGGAGAGGGTCTAGGGGCTGAGGTGGACCTTAACTAAGCTTAGGTCACACACTGGGTTCTGGTGTGAACTGCAACTTCATTACCATGGCAGCCACTTACCCTGTGGCTCTGATAAACTAAGAAGACTCATGCATATTTAATTTTTAAACCAAATAGAAGGCTTTTTTATTAATTTTATAATTTATTTTTGTTTGCCTTGAGACAGAGTCTCATATAGCCCAGGCCGGCCTCAAACTTGTTAAATAGCTGAAGATGACCTCCTGCTTCTGTTTCCCAAGTGCTGGGACTGCAGGTGTGTACTACCACATCCTGTTG